AGAGAAACTCAATTATTGATACTTATCTGAAATGTTTTATCTATTTGTTGGACTACTTGGAGATTAAAGAGTCCACTTTGGAGACCAGATCCGGTGTCTCAACAATGCCGGCCAATCGACTGTTGGTTCAAAAGATTAAACTTAATTTTACGAATATTATCAGTGAAACCAAAGACAAGAATATCTGTTTGGAAATGTTTTTATTACTATTAGTCGAAGTCTACGAAATGAGCCAACAGTACGCCGACGCTGTCGACATACTGACCACTTTTATCGACAATAATGCCGAATATCTCAATTCACACTTATATCTATACAATTTTGGTCTCAAATATCCCTCTTATGTTACCGACGATCAGATGGTCGGTGCGCTCAAAAATATTGCAAAATATTCGCCCAATTGTTGCCATGTCTTAGATTTGGTCGCCCGACACGTACTACCCGTCGATGAAGAATTTGCTTTATTATTAAATTATTTAGACTTTACTACCAATAGTAACGATACTAAGGCGTGGACACTATTAAGACAATTGGTTGACTCTATCGACAACAGGAACGATGAAACGTCTGATGATTCAAAAAGTGTCAAAGAGTTTTGGCATAAATACCGTTACGACAGGAATTGGCATCGAATTCATTGTCGTAAACTTCCGGCAGATATTGAATCATTGGATCAATTAGTGGACTCAAATGTCATCGAAATTATTAAATGCAAACAATCTGTGATTAAATATTTTTATGGCAGCGATCATGAATCTCATGAATTAATTGGAAAGTTTTTAAATTTGTAATGAAATACTACATTATAATGACTTTTGTAATTAATTTTTATAAATTATTGTATTTTAATTCATACTTATATCATAATATTTATACTACTGTATAATACTAGTGTACAAATTGTAATAAATTAATTATAGTAGTTAGTTATTAAATAGTTGTGCAATTTTTTAGATATTATTTACAATAATATTAATACTGTAAATCTAAACTAAAGTATAATTGTAATGGTATATTAAAAATCAATTAAAAATTTCAACTTTATAGAGGAGTCATGTAATGGATATTTAAGTTTAATATCTTGTAATAATGATTATATGATATATGAAATTAGTGTGTTTTATATATGAGACAAATATGTGAAATAATTACGGTATGTCTTAATGAATGAAAGCATAATAATTATCATATTTTATTTGATGGCATGGATTGTGTGTCGCAATTGTTGCTCAAAGTGAGTGAGTGAGTGAGTGAGTGAGTGAGAGAGAGAGAGAGAGAGAGAGAGAGAGAGAGAGAGAGAGATCATTAGCTGACCTTATTGTCAAACAAACAGCTCTTTTTTAATTTCAAAGACATCACTGGTGTTGGTCTCCTTTTTTTATATATACTCTTATCAAACCATACACGCAATTATCATATTATAATAATTTTATTAAAAAACAATAGCAATATTAAAATTGCTACGAATTTAATATACATGTATGCAATGGTTTATTATTTGTATTTTCAATGTTTGATTCAAATTTATGTACAAATGAATTAAACAATATTATAATACAGTAAAAATCATTTCACAAAACATTTTATTCATTGTTTGGTAATAAAAATATAATCAAAACAAATTGATTTATCCAATTATAGATGTTTTTGCAATTCAGATGAAATATATTATCATAATAATAATTATTTTTATTATTAATAGTGACATAAATTTAAAGAGACAAACATTGAAATATCTTCTACTGAATAAAGATATATAAATACAATTATATATCAGATTCTATTGAAAGTTATAATAATAAAAATAAATATCTATTAAAAGGAAAGACTATTTTTATTATTATAAGTAGACATTCCTTTCGCTTGACTTCAAAATTATTTACAAATAAATAACAATTAAATGCAGACCTCATTTCATTTTATATTTTTCATGTCTGAAATAAGACACTAATTTCAATATTGATATCTTTAATAATAATACTGGTATTAAAAGTTTCTGAGATAAAAATATAATGAAATATTTATTACAAAATTTATTTAGGTAACAACATGTTATGATAATATGATAAAATAATATCTATTTTCTATTAGCTATTTTTAATAAAAAAAATTATCTATTATTACATCACAACATTTATATTATACTAAAATTTTCTAAATAATCATAGCTGATAAATAATAGCAACATTGTTATTGATAATTATAAATACATACAATTAGAAATATAATAATTTTATTTGGTATTTTCCATAATTACTCAAATTATCTATAAAAGAGTATTTTCATTGTAATTGTTTATATTATATTAAATTATAATATATTTATATAATATAAAGTTTATAAACTCTATAATACAGAATCTATATACTAATTTCAATTAAGTATAATTTTTATATTCAAGTTAAATCATTAATATACAGTAGTATCGATAGTACAGATTAAAGTTATCCCTAAACTTAAAACCCTGTATTATAATTATATTACAAAAAAAAACTCGAATAATTAAATAGTATTAAACTAACACAAAAATAAAACTATTTTTTTAGTTGTTATCTTAAATATTATATATTACTTATGTTCATCTAATTATTTCTAAGTTATATGAAAAAATTAACACAAATTTTATTTTGTTTCCAACATATTATTTGATAGAGATTACTATTTAAATTAAATGACAATTTTTTTAAGTGTGACTATAATTAAATATTTTGCAAACATTTTTATATAATTCAAGGTTTCAGTTTAACGCCAATGTTTGAAATATAGTATTATTATTATTATTATTAAAGTTTTCAATTAAAATTATATGCATATAATAAAACACTTTGAAGATAACATCAACTAATTTAATTGTTATTTAAATTACTATAAACTTTAATTTAATTATAAAAAATATCTATTTAAGTGTTTTAATATTAAAATCAAATCAAAATATCACTATAAATATATAAGATATGAATTAACTGTATAATAATTTATATACTGTATAATACAAAACGATATTTTATGCAAATTTTGATTTAATGAATGAAAAACATTATTTAAAAATTCTATCCAATCTATTGTAATCTATAAATTGATAAATATATTTAAATTAAAATATCATACAATGATATACTGTATTTAATGTGATAATAAACAAATAAGCACTACTCGAAACATTATTTTAAATATATAATAAAACAAAATTAAATTACCATATATAGATATACTAAAATTAATTATTTAACAAAATTATAATAATATTTTTGTTATCTATTTAATTTTCTATGTTGCATGCTTACTATTTTAATTAAATCAAAACCTTGCCAAATTTATTAATTTTAATTACAAAAAAATAACTAATAATTTTAATTGATTTACATAATTTATAAAAAAAATATTTATTTATAATTAAAATTTGAAAAATTTGAGTATCATCAATTTTATAGCATTCAGTACATTTACTATATACTGTATACTAAATTTAATTTTAAAAATTATTATGTTATGACAAAAGTACTAAAAAATAAGATATTTCCTAAAATATATAATTTTATCAACACTTAAGTTTCTTTGAACTTTTGAAAAAAATAAAGATAAACTCAACACTACATAATCATATATAATTAAATTTCTATACACCTGTAGAGTAAAGTAGTATTTTATTAATAATAGACATTTTTTCTTAATTTAACCGTTAGATTAGCTAAAAAACTATATTAAAATAATAAAAACTATACAATTGAAAGGACATTTAGTGGCATTCATATCACGCATTTATTATTTTTTGTAATTATTTAAAGTGTTCATCAAATATTGTATTTTGAATTAATAATAATAATAATAAATTTTGCATAAAAATGACACTTAAATTAGTTGGTAGTTGTGATCACAACCGGAATAAAAACATGCAATCGGTTTGACTGTTGTTACGCCTATTTCGTTGAATTTAATCGCTTCAAAAACATATAGCTATAGACGAGTAGCCCTTTAAATACCTGTTTGTGGTTTGTTTAGAGAAAAATAAAATCAAAATCAAAATTAATGTATTATACAGTAGTAATAAAAGACTTTCAGTTTTTTTGCCATCTAAAGTGTTCAGCAAAGCGTTTAAATAATAATAATAATCAACAAAAAAAAGATAAAATGTTATGTTAAGAAAACAGTTGTCTTTTTTCCAAAACAACAAAACAAAAAATGTTTGCATAATATTATTGGTCACAATGGGAACAGTTGTCTCAGGTGGTGGTCGTGTATGTGTGTAGATCAGTGCTGATCATTGCCTACTCTCATGTATAGACTATAAAGAGTAGTTAGTAGTAGTAGTAGTAAATCGCCACTTGTTTTTTGGGTCGTCTCCTATAATAAATGTATACACAGTTGTGGTGACAATTATTAAGTAAAACAATAGTTTTTTTAATAAATAATATGCATTTTTTGTTTCATAGTTTCAAAACTGTTTAGAGACCTAATTAATAGAGATATCAGTGTTTTGTAAATGATTTCACTCTTTAAATAAAAGTTTTTCTCTCCTATTATGTCATACCTGCTGTGGCTTCTTCTGTGTCTCACTTTTTTTATCTGCCGATTATATGATAACTTTATTTTGAAGAGAGAGAGAAAGTGATGGTTCAGTATTTAATTTTATTATTTTTTTCTGCCACAAAACTATTTGATGATTTGATCCGATAAACTGAATTCCCAATCGGATATCGAATAAAGGAGTGGTGTATTTAAAATCATCATCAGTGGTGAAGGAGTTGCCAATTGATGGCACAGAAATTGAAACTTTTTATTTAAAAAAAAGTTATTTATTATAAATATAACCAACACTTTTATATATATATAAAGTATTAGTAATTTTCAAAACTTTTTTGTCAATCAATTAATAAAATGTTTTCAAAACATTTGCATTTATGATACCTAAATAATTATTGCTGTTCTCAAACAACAAGAAAAATGTATTTTGTGTTTAATATATTGACTCTGTTTTTGGTCAAAACATTTGCCAGCGATTATTCCGCTAATAATTTGACCACTTCTGTGGTCAACATATCCGAAGATGGTATCCAAACAACATCGCGGACAACATTGAGCGATGTCTTCTTCGACACAACCAATGTTCAGACCATCAACGACTCGATGCTTATGTCGGCCGATACTAACCACTGGCTTAAGGATCGGTCGACAGTAACCACTCCTTTGTCTTTGCACCAGAAGAAGACCACTGCCAAACAAACTGATGCCACCAACAGATATAGTGACGTAAGATTTTTTTTGATCAGTTTTTAAAGAGTTTTAATTTTGTTATTATTAAATATTAGTACTTTTAAAGTAAATTTGCTTACAGTGCAAACTGTAAGCATTGAAAAACAAGTTTATTTATTAAATAATCAATACATAAAAGTTTAATCAAAAAAAATTGTTAAATTTTGTTTTTACATTAGTTTTTTTTAAAAAATAATACTAATACTGATATAATAAGCAATTAATTAAACTAATTAAATTATTATAGATATACAGTATATAATAAAATACAGTATTAGATGTATTATTTAGCATTTAATATATTATGATATAGTATTAATTATTTTCCTATAAATCTGTAAAGTTGAAAATTATTTTTTATCTAATTTTTAGAAATTTATAAATAAATATTTAAAACATATAATATTTTACAAAGTTATCAAATAATTATTAATATTAAACACTCATTATAAATATGCAGTAAATTTTTATATTATAAGTTATAACCCTGAAACTTTTACTAATAAATTTATAATGACTATAATTTATCTGTGATTAAGTAATTACAATTCAATTAATATATTCTTTATAATATAAAACTTAGTGTATATTAATATTATATTAAAAATAATACAATACTATTAGGATATTGTTCTTAACTTTCTTAGAGGACATTCATTATATTGTTTTCACAAAAAAAAACTTATCAATAGTTTTGAAAGTATCAAAATATAATTTAAGCAAATATTCAAATTAATTACAGAACCAGCAAAATAATAATAATTATTAATATCATAAAACATTTTATTATTATTTAAAAATAAAAACTTATAAATACAAATATCAATATTATTAATACAATATTATAAGTTTCTCCAATGATATGCTAAATAAATGATTAATTGGTTATTATTTAAATTTCACAAAAAAATAAATAATTGATAAATTATAAGTTTTACTTTATATATTATAATTAGATAACATAAATTTATATTAGTAATAATTAATTTTTAAATAAAACAATTCAATTTTAAATATATAGTAATAATGCACTATATTTTAAAATTTAATAAATGATTAACATTTGGTGCACAGACGGACCAATTTAGTGACGACAGTGTCACACAAGCAACATATCAAAGCAAATCATATACAAAACCGACGACAACAACAAAAACAATACTGACATCATCGCCATCGATGGCCGCCGTCTACGATGATAGTGATAGTGGCCATCATATGTTGAACGGTGCCAACACTGCCAAAGCTAATACTCAAGACCTATACGAAAATGGACAACGACTCACCACAAAGTCGTTTCTCACTAAAAATTCAGGTAATTTACTAAACAATTTTGTTATTCAAAGATAACAATAAACAGAAAAATAAAGATAATTAAGTTTAAAGATAACGAAATAAATGTTAAAAAATGATTATAAAAAAGAGACATTGAATGCGTGCCTTAAAGTTCAATAGCGCTTCAAAAAACAATGACATTTAATATAATATATTATCATTAGATTAGATAAGAGATGAGTCCTAACTTATAGCGTTAAAAATTAATGAGATCTTGAATTGTCATCTAATTTGTGGTCAACTTTTTTTTTGTTTGTTTGGTGTGATTCACACCATTCATGTCAACAAAAAAAGTGTTTATGTTTTAGGTTGGGTTGGATTCGCTTGGATTCAGTTTGCAATTTCTCACTGCACTTGTAGGTCATATACCTTTCACTTTTTTGTTTGTTTGTTTAGTTTGTTTTAATGATTTAGACCAAACAAACTAAAAAACATATCATCAGGTGTTATATATATATATATATATATTCCGGTGCTAATTCACTTTTTTTGTTATTGAATGAATAAATACATAAAAACAATCAAAATTGTTTCGTCCACTTGAAAAACCCATAATACATATGGACGTGACTTTCAATATATAGGTTATTATTACGAGGGGGGCTAAAATTTATCATTATCACACAATTGAACAAAATAGTAGACACATTATTATTATTTTTTTGTTTACATTATTTTAATTGCATATATATATATATATATATATATATTAAATCTTTATCTAAATTGCATCATATAATAAACAGTAAAACTTTAAACACTATATCAATCTCTATTGATAGGTCAATGATGTTGTGTGAATTTTAATATGCTTTTATTTTTATGGTCCAATTATATAACATTTAATACTATACAGTACATAATATTTAACAATTAAAAATTTTTATAAAAATGCTTAAAACGAGAATTTTAATTAATATTGTTACTATTTAATAATACTCTTGAATAGTACTCTAATTATCTTATTTAAAGATATATGTAGATATTTTTTGCTATTATTTATATATATTAATAATTAACTATATTTTTTAAAAAATCAGATGAACCGGTATATATGGGAGAAGGAGGAGATACAAAAAATGGTCACTCAGGTCATTACGATACAAATAATGTCTGTGACTTTTGTCTGTACGAGGGTGAGGGCAATTTTACCAGTTATGGCTATCCTCTGGCCTACCGATCCAATCTTAACTGTACCTATAGAGTGATGAGAGTCGATGAATCTAATGTCTGCGAAATGGAAATCTATTTTCACGATTTCGATGTCTCAATATCGTCGTCGTCACCGTCACTGCCATCCACTGCCACATCACATCATTCAAAGGCCAAACAACAAAATGACTGCCACGAAGACTATCTAGAAGTTAATAATCGTAGATATTGTGGAACCGGTTGGAGACATCATTCAGATGTCGTAGCATTTCCTTTAGATCAAAAAGAGCTGGTCTTCAGGTTTGTATCGAATGAACAAACTAATAGCCAGGGATTTTGGGTTGAAGTTAGACGCCGTCCCAACACTTGTTTCGGTACTCGTCTGAAGACTGAACCATCGGAGATATGCGAAGAAAGGTTTACAGAAATTGAGTTTGAATTGAAAAGTCCCAGATTTCCCGACAATTATCCGTTTAATTCAAATTGTAATTATCATATCAAACGAATCAACGATGATGTCTGTGGTCTGGAGCTATTGTTTTTCAAGTTTGATATCGAAATGTCCGACAGATGTTCTTATGATTATCTGGAGATTGATGGCCAGCGTCTCTGTGGTGTACTTCCCGATAATTCTCAGCACATATTTAAGTTTGAAAGCGAATACAAATCATTGACATTTCAGAGCGATTCCCAATTGTCTAAATCGGGATTTCATATTCACGCCAAACAATTGACTGATTGTAGACCACCGTCACTGCCGGCGCCTCCTTCTTGTAATGTCTGTACCAGTGAAGGATTCGGTACTTTTGTCAGCTATGGCTATCCGGATCACTACCGAAACAATTTGTTGTGTACCTATACTATCGATCGGCGAAATGCCGACTATTGCTACGTTGAACTGGAATTTGAAGACTTCGAGCTCCAGAAGTCGGACAACTGTGAAGACGATTACTTACAAGTCGAAGGTCAGAGATATTGTTCGGATACTTTAAAACAAACCAAACGAGTCGTACCGTTTGAGGGCAAAGATAAAGGCGTTGTTTTGGTCTTCAAAACGGACGCCTCAAAAACCAAAAGAGGATTTCTAATACAATATAAGCAACTCGAGTGTACCACCAATGATGTTGTCCAGGAAAAGGCATCGTTGCCCGACTCGGCAGTAGTGCCGATGCCGACCAGTACCTGTGATCATGTGTTTACCGACAAAGAGTTTACGATACAAAGCGACAATTTTAGCCAAAGTTATGCCAATAACTTGGAGTGTAGTTATTATATACAAAAAAATTCGACAAAAGTCTGTTATCTTGAGCTGACATTCATTAAGTTTGATGTCGAAGCCAGTCCTGAGTGTCAATACGATTATCTGGAAGTTGGAAACACTGTAAGACTTTGTGGTACATTACAGACAGAAACTGTTAGGACATATATTTTCGATACAAACGAAAAGATATTGAAATTTCATTCGGATTCATCCAATGCGCGAAACGGTTTTATTGTCAAAGCGGAACAACTTGAATGTATGGGCGATAAAATTATTCGGCCATCAGTTCAACAGCTATCGGTGACCACACCGTCGGCATCGATGATCACACCCATGCATTATAACGGTGGCGGCGGCGGTGACACAAGTTTTTGCAGTCAAGTGCTGGACACCCAAGAGTTTAACATTTTAAGTCCAAGTTATCCGAATCCTTATCCGCCCGATCAGGACTGTCTGTTTATGGTCAGAAAGTTGTCGGAAAACATTTGCAAACTAGAGGTAACTTTTGATGACTTCGAAATACAGCCAACCGATCCCAATGCGTATTGTAAATACGATTTTGTCGATTTCAATGGTGTCCGAGTGTGCGGTGATGTGACCAGAGGCGATATTCGGACGTATTATTTTGCCGGTCAAACATTTCCCATACATTTTCATTCGGACAATTCGGTTACCAGTTCGGATCGGGCGTTCAGATTGAATGTACGACAGGTTGAATGCCTGACTGACCAACAACAACAACAACAGCAAACCAATCAGATCGTACCGTCGGAGATGACAAACAGGGATCAGTACCATAAAGTATACGATTGTAATCGAGTCTATTCAGACGTATCGATTGAATTGAAAAGTCCAAACTATCCCCAAAGTTATCCAAACAATTTGAATTGCAAATATACTATATTAAAGAACAGAGAGGGTATTAAAGTATGTCAACTGGAGGTCAACTTTGTGGACATTGATCTGGAAAAATCTCAAGACTGTAGCAACGATTATCTGAATTTTAATGGACAACTCATGTGCGGTTCGCTGTCAAGTGAGACGACCAGATATTACTTGTTCGAAGGCAATCAATTTGTCATCAATTTTGTAACCGATGATTACAAAAGTCAAAGAGGTTTTCATCTGAGAATTCGCCAAAAAGAGTGTCCACCTGATGACCAAAGACAAGTGACTCGCCAGCCGTATGGCAATGGTTTGGCCCAATGCGGCGGTGTCTACACTGAATCGTCATTTGATCTGAAGAGTCCACAATATCCTGAATACTATGAAAGTAATATGGAATGTATTTACCGAATTGTCCGCAAAAATGATAATATCTGCAGACTTGAGATCAGATTTATTGACTTTGATGTCGAACCGAGCACTTCCTGTGTCTACGACTATCTGATAATCGATGGCAAGAAATTGTGCGGCGATATGAAGCCAAACTTTGTCAAAACACTTGAGTTTTACGAAAATGAAAAGACATTTATTTTCAAATCGGGAACAGCAACCAAACGAAGAGGATTTTTGGCTAAAGTTTACCAAAAAGAGTGTGAAGTGGATCAGCCATCTTCGGCTGACAACAGTGTTGGTTTGCCATCAATTCCATCAATATGTGAACTATGTTTTACCGAAGTTATGGGTAGTATCCAGTCCTATGATTATCCAAACAACTATCCGGGACACTTGAACTGCCGGTATAAGATAACAGCCCTTCCCGGCAATTGTATGGTTCAGTTAAACTTCGAAGAATTTCGTTTGGAATACTCCGATAGTTGCGAAAGAGATTATCTGGAGATCAATAATATTAGATATTGTGGCAATCAGTTAGAAGGCGCTACACGTATGAGATACTAAATAATATATATATTAAATATTTTTTTGCTATTAAATCAATTGATTTTATTTGTATTTAGTGTTGGCTTTCAATAAAAAACCCGACGATGTGACCATCAAATTTGTTACCAACGGTCTGAAAGGCTACCGAGGATTTCGGGCCTCCTATACTCAATTGCCCTGTATTGGTGGCGTACCATCGGGTCAACAACAGTTGACTATTAAACAACAAGAACAGTATTATCAGCACAAATACGAGACCAAAACTCAGTCGCCTATCAAATCAGTTCAACCGATTCAACCACACAGGCCTAGCTTAGAGCGTCAACCACACCAACCAGTCTTCCAGGTTCCCCAAAGACCAGGTCCGCCATTTGCTAGTTCTAGCGGCGGCGGAATCTCACACTATGGATCGGTTCCGATAGCCGTAGTGGACAACACTAAGTCAATCAACTCTTCCTCTTCCTCCTCATCAGCTGCTGCTCGCATACCGTGCGATCAAGTAATTTACGATATGGTGTTTGAAGTGAAAAGTCCTAATTATCCCAATTATTATCCGCCAAACAATGACTGTCTTTATTCAATCAGAAGAGCCAATTCTAATATTTGTAAACTTCGGCTAAGATTTATATATTTTGACCTAAAAGGTGAATATAAAGAATGTATTGGAGATTCACTTGAAATCAAAGGCAATAAACTCTGTGGAAGTCTTCCTAATAATACAATAGGTTTGTGAAGTCAAAGACATTTGTTTTTTTTAATGATAATGACTTTCCACTCAATAATTAAAAAATATGTAATTTTATATTCTTTAGAAGAGTTTTCATTTGACGCCTACAAGATATCAATGAGATTCCGATCGGATCAGGACATCACTGGCAAAGGTTTCAAACTGATGGGCGAACAGATAGATTGTACGCCATTTAACTTACCAACGGAGCAAAAGCCAAGCAAACGGCCGCAATATTATGGTCAGCCATCGGTGCAATACGATAATGAAAATCAATTAACATATTCACAATCGCAATCCATACCTCAGCCGCAACCCCAGCCATCCTATTCATATCCATCAACAGCTGATCCAAAGCCACAGTATTCTGGCTATGGATCCGATTCTTCATACCATCATCATCAACAACAACAGCAACCGTTTAATCAAAAATATCCGATACAATCATCACGATCTCCTCATCAACCATCTCATTCTCAGCCCAAACCTTTTATGGCACACATAACGCCGACAACACAAAAGGGTGGTTCACATTACGATGACAGGAGAACTCCTCCATACTCGCCATCAAACAAGTATCCAACTCAGCAAACAACCTATGGATCTAAAGCTCAACCGGACTACAGTCCTCCTCCACAAAGTAATAGACCGTATTCTCCGGCCGATAGACTACACAGTGTATCTCAATCTCAACTTTATGGACAACAACAACAATCGGACAGTGAAGACAAATATTATGAAAGCAGAAAAAATCAGAAACCACTTTATAATATTAATAGTAATAATAATATCAAACACAAAATGCCGACTAATTATGATGACAATAATGATTATAAAGATAGCAAAAGATGTGAACAGAAAATCCAAAGCATGTATTTCGAGATAAAAAGTCCAAAAGAGTCGAATACCGAGTGTTCGTACAGAATTGAAAAATCAAAGGATAATGTCTGTCAATTGGATCTAATGTTTACTAACTTTAATTTGGGTGACCAGACCTGTCAAAAGCAGTATATGCTGGTCGACGATCAAAAACTTTGCGGTACAATACCAAGGAATACAATGAGGACATTCAAGTTTGACACAAATCAGCTGATGATTGTCTTGAAGACAGAGATTATGGGTTTTGGCAACGGATTCGATATCAAAGCCCGACAAGTCGAGTGCGGACCACCAAAAGATCGCGGATCACTACCACCGCAGTCGTCGACATCATTTAGACAACAAGATAGACCACAGATGAGTGATTCAGGTTCAAGAGTAGGATATATGTATATGAATCCGATATCTGATGGAGGAAGAGTAAACGGAGGTGGAAGTGGTGGTGGTAATGATGGTGATAATGGTGGTGGTAATGGTGGTGGTAATGGTGGTGGTAATGATGGTGGTAATGGTGGTGGTAATGGTGTCGGCGCATCATATAATATAAGAGATTCACCCAATTCACGGCCTATCGAAGAAGTTCGAGGTGTTCAGACAAATTTTGATGGTTTTAATATGAATCGCGTGGCACCATATAAACCGGACACACCTGACAAAAGAGTGGGAACACCTACTGGCGGACAAATTCAGGACAGATGTCTTACTGCATACAATGAAATTGAGTTTTCCATAACAAGTGTCAACTATCCTAATCCCTATCCACCGGATATGTTCTGTCAATATATTGTTAGAAAAGCTAATCCCGATGTTTGTGCCATTGATATGAAATTTACTTCGTTCGATATCGAAGACGATCCCAAATGTGCTAAAGACTATCTGGAGGTCGACGCCGGAAAAATATGCGGACCGTTGCCGCCCAGTCATGAAAGTATAAATCAAATATTTTTTTTTTTAAATGTTTTGAAATATTAATTATTGCAATAATTTTTGTCAAATAATTTAAAGGACGATATTATTTCTTACCGGAAGAATATGAAAAAGTCTTAATGTTTAAATCGGACGATTCGGGCTCTAAATCGGGTTATTCGATAAAAATTCGACAAATAACCGACTGTTCTCAGCCTTGGCAGCCAAGTATGTACTAATAAAAAATAAACAAATGTTTAATTTTTATATTTGAATTATAATAACCTAAATAAATATTTTAAACAAAAAATGACAATTGAAGTGTCGGGTCCAACGCCTCCAACTGTTTGCGATGTTTGTCACCAGAATCTTAGGGGTCAGATAAAGAGCGCCAACTATCCCAACCAATACAGCGATTATATGCGCTGTTCGTATCGCATCCAAGCAATGGGTTCTCAATATTGTTGGGTAAGGCTATTCTTGAGAGATATCGACATAGAGGCCAGTGGTTCGGGTGACTGTAGAAAAGATGCTCTAATTATTGACAATCAAAAGTTGTGCGGAAAAGATGTTCAAACAAAAGAAAGTGAGTTATAATTATATTTTGTTATTTAAACGATTAAATTCATATTATTATCTTCCGATAAAACATATTATAGTGACGCTAACATTCCCCGCTAGTGAGCCCCGGGAGGTTCACATAGACTTTCAGAGTGATGTTAGCGGTAGTGGTCGGGGATTTCTCATAGAGTATTTGCAGGTATTATATATATAAAACATTTTTATATATATTGTATTTATTTACAAAATAATAATTATAAAAAATAAGTCAAATAATTAATAACTAACTAACTTAGGAATCGTGCGATACATTGCCGTCAAATCGATCGCCAACTTTGGAACCGCCGCCCAATATTATCATCGGTGGTAGAGGTGGCCGACCACCAGTGCCGCCGCCGAAATCAGGACAACAAACAATAATTACAAAACCAGATAACAGAATCGGTGCGACGGGAACATTGGTTCCGCCCGTATATCCGCCCAATTATGTGTCTCGGGCTCACATAGAAGAGATCGTACAAACACAGGTCCAGGTAGTGGACAGAGGTTTACTTAATACAAATAATCAACGAAAAACTGGATGAAAAATCTGAACACAATTTAATTAATATTTTTAAAAAAATAATTATACAAAATACAAGTATAATAGAATATAAATAATATAATTATAGTTTTAATAACTGAAAAATTGTGCGATAAAAAGATTAGAGTTATTCTAATGTAATGTAAAACAAAAATTAATTTTGATTTTATTTAAGTGTAAAATAAGTAAAAATGTATTCGAAGTAATAAATTATTATTTTTTCTTAATAAATGTTTATTTGATTTTCTAAATATTTAAAATTGATAAATATTTTATAAGTCGGCAATTAATGGTCTAATCCAACAAAAGAATTCGAAACTTCTAACTGTATTAATAAATAATCAGTTTTTATTGATTATTAAGTCTTAAACAGAGGCGCCGATGATAATTAATATTTGTAACAACAAGGGGTGAAATTTTCAATACCATTTATACTAATGTTACAATATTTATTCATTTTTATACGCAATCAAATACAAGGGGTGAAATTTTCAATACCATTTATACTAATGTTACAATATTTATTCATTTTTATACGCAATCAAATACAAGGGGTGAAATTTTCAATACCATTTATACTAATGTTACAATATTTATTCATTTTTATACGCAATCAAATACAAGGGGTGAAATTTTCAATACCATTTATACTAATGTTACAATATTTATTCATTTTTATACGCAATCAAATACAAGGGGTGAAATTTTCAATACCATTTATACTAATGTTACAATATTTATTCATTTTTATACGCAATCAAATACAAGGGGTGAAATTTTCAATACCATTTATACTAATGTTACAATATTTATTCATTTTTATACGCAATCAAATACAAGGGGTGAAATTTTCAATACCATTTATACTAATGTTACAATATTTATTCATTTTTATACGCAATCAAATACAAGGGGTGAAATTTTCAATACCATTTATACTAATGTTACAATATTTATTCATTTTTATACGCAATCAAATACAAGGGGTGAAATTTTCAATACCATTTATACTAATGTTACAATATTTATTCATTTTTATACGCAATCAAATACAAGGGGTGAAATTTTCAATACCATTTATACTAATGTTACAATATTTATTCATTTTTATACGCAATCAAATACAAGGGGTGAAATTTTCAATACCATTTATACTAATGTTACAATATTTATTCATTTTTATACGCAATCAAATACAAGGGGTGAAATTTTCAATACCATTTATACTAATGTTACAATATTTATTCATTTTTATACGCAATCAAATACAAGTTTTTCAATACAATATTTATTTTATTCATTTTTATACGCAATCAAATACAAGGGGTGAAATTTTCAATACCATTTATACTAATGTTACAATATTTATTCATTTTTATACGCAATCAAATACAAGGGGTGAAATTTTCAATACCATTTATACTAATGTTACAATATTTATTCATTTTTATACGCAATCAAATACAAGGGGTGAAATTTTCAATACCATTTATACTAATGTTACAATATTTATTCATTTTTATACGCAATCAAATACAAGGGGTGAAATTTTCAATACCATTTATACTAATGTTACAATATTTATTCATTTTTATACGCAATCAAATACAAGGGGTGAAATTTTCAATACCATTTATACTAATGTTACAATATTTATTCATTTTTATACGCAATCAAATACAAGGGGTGAAATTTTCAATACCATTTATACTAATGTTACAATATTTATTCATTTTTATACGCAATCAAATACAAGGGGTGAAATTTTCAATACCATTTATACTAATGTTACAATATTTATTCATTTTTATACGCAATCAAATACAAGGGGTGAAATTTTCAATACCATTTATACTAATGTTACAATATTTATTCATTTTTATACGCAATCAAATACAAGGGGTGAAATTTTCAATACCATTTATACTAATGTTACAATATTTATTCATTTTTATACGCAATCAAATACAAGGGGTGAAATTTTCAATACCATTTATACTAATGTTACAATATTTATTCATTTTTATACGCAATCAAATACAAGGGGTGAAATTTTCAATACCATTTATACTAATGTTACAATATTTATTCATTTTTATACGCAATCAAATACAAGGGGTGAAATTTTCAATACCATTTATACTAATGTTACAATATTTATTCATTTTTATACGCAATCAAATACAAGGGGTGAAATTTTCAATACCATTTATACTAATGTTACAATATTTATTCATTTTTATACGCAATCAAATACAAGGGGTGAAATTTTCAATACCATTTATACTAATGTTACAATATTTATTCATTTTTATACGCAATCAAATACAAGGGGTGAAATTTTCAATACCATTTATACTAATGTTACAATATTTATTCATTTTTATACGCAATCAAATACAAGGGGTGAAATTTTCAATACCATTTATACTAATGTTACAATATTTATTCATTTTTATACGCAATCAAATACAAGGGGTGAAATTTTCAATACCATTTATACTAATGTTACAATATTTATTCATTTTTATACGCAATCAAATACAAGGGGTGAAATTTTCAATACCATTTATACTAATGTTACAATATTTATTCATTTTTATACGCAATCAAATACAAGGGGTGAAATTTTCAATACCATTTATACTAATGTTACAATATTTATTCATTTTTATACGCAATCAAATACAAGGGGTGAAATTTTCAATACCATTTATACTAATGTTACAATATTTATTCATTTTTATACGCAATCAAATACAAGGGGTGAAATTTTCAATACCATTTATACTAATGTTACAATATTTATTCATTTTTATACGCAATCAAATACAAGGGGTGAAATTTTCAATACCATTTATACTAATGTTACAATATTTATTCATTTTTATACGCAATCAAATACAAGGGGTGAAATTTTCAATACCATTTATACTAATGTTACAATATTTATTCATTTTTATACGCAATCAAATACAAGGGGTGAAATTTTCAATACCATTTATACTAATGTTACAATATTTATTCATTTTTATACGCAATCAAATACAAGGGGTGAAATTTTCAATACCATTTATACTAATGTTACAATATTTATTCATTTTTATACGCAATCAAATACAAGGGGTGAAATTTTCAATACCATTTATACTAATGTTACAATATTTATTCATTTTTATACGCAATCAAATACAAGGGGTTTTCAATACCATTTATACTAATGAAATTTTCATTTTTATACCATTTATACTAATGTTACAATATTTATTCATTTTTATACGCAATCAAATACAAGGGGTGAAATTTTCAATACCATTTATACTAATGTTACAATATTTATTCATTTTTATACGCAATCAAATACAAGGGGTGAAATTTTCAATACCATTTATACTAATGTTACAATATTTATTCATTTTTATACGCAATCAAATACAAGGGGTGAAATTTTCAATACCATTTATACTAATGTTACAATATTTATTCATTTTTATACGCAATCAAATACAAGGGGTGAAATTTTCAATACCATTTATACTAATGTTACAATATTTATTCATTTTTATACGCAATCAAATACAAGGGGTGAAATTTTCAATACCATTTATACTAATGTTACAATATTTATTCATTTTTATACGCAATCAAATACAAGGGGTGAAATTTTCAATACCATTTATACTAATGTTACAATATTTATTCATTTTTATACGCAATCAAATACAAGGGGTGAAATTTTCAATACCATTTATACTAATGTTACAATATTTATTCATTTTTATACGCAATCAAATACAAGGGGTGAAATTTTCAATACCATTTATACTAATGTTACAATATTTATTCATTTTTATACGCAATCAAATACAAGGGGTGAAATTTTCAATACCATTTATACTAATGTTACAATATTTATTCATTTTTATACGCAATCAAATACAAGGGGTGAAATTTTCAATACCATTTATACTAATGTTACAATATTTATTCATTTTTATACGCAATCAAATACAAGGGGTGAAATTTTCAATACCATTTATACTAATGTTACAATATTTATTCATTTTTATACGCAATCAAATACAAGGGGTGAAATTTTCAATACCATTTATACTAATGTTACAATATTTATTCATTTTTATACGCAATCAAATACAAGGGGTGAAATTTTCAATACCATTTATACTAATGTTACAATATTTATTCATTTTTATACGCAATCAAATACAAGGGGTGAAATTTTCAATACCATTTATACTAATGTTACAATATTTATTCATTTTTATACGCAATCAAATACAAGGGGTGAAATTTTCAATACCATTTATACTAATGTTACAATATTTATTCATTTTTATACGCAATCAAATACAAGGGGTGAAATTTTCAATACCATTTATACTAATGTTACAATATTTATTCATTTTTATACGCAATCAAATACAAGGGGTGAAATTTTCAATACCATTTATACTAATGTTACAATATTTATTCATTTTTATACGCAATCAAATACAAGGGGTGAAATTTTCAATACCATTTATACTAATGTTACAATATTTATTCATTTTTATACGCAATCAAATACAAGGGGTGAAATTTTCAATACCATTTATACTAATGTTACAATATTTATTCATTTTTATACGGTGAAATTTTCAATACCATTTATACTAATGTTACAATATTTATTCATTTTTATACGCAATCAAATACAAGGGGTGAAATTTTCAATACCATTTATACTAATGTTACAATATTTATTCATTTTTATACGCAATCAAATACAAGGGGTGAAATTTTCAATACCATTTATACTAATGTTACAATATTTATTCATTTTTATACGCAATCAAATACAAGGGGTGAAATTTTCAATACCATTTATACTAATGTTACAATATTTATTCATTTTTATACGCAATCAAATACAAGGGGTGAAATTTTCAATACCATTTATACTAATGTTACAATATTTATTCATTTTTATACGCAATCAAA